CCCAGCCAGCAAATGCTGGCTGGGGAATTCTGGGAGTTGAAGTCTGGACATCTTCAAGTTGCCAAGGTTGAGAAACACTGTCTTAGAAGACCAAGGAAGGAGCTCTCCAACATTAAACTGATAAATATGAGGTGTCAAAGGTGTCACGTTTTAGCTTGGCAGCCTCCCTTTTTTTTCTTCCAAGTTTTCTAAGCTCTTTCATTGCTTCCTTGAGTCTTAAGGTACACTCCATCTTCTATTTGCAGTGTAGGTGTGTCTCTTCAAACAAATGATTGCAAACCCCTGGGGCAAACAACTTGTTAATATGTGTGCTAAGAAGGATAACTGCAGTAGTGGCAAATTCAGTGGTGAAAAATGGCAAACTTTTTTTTTTGGAAATAAAACTGATTTCCTCTGGTGAACATGGCTCCAATTCAATGCTAAGAAGTGGATTAAAAAAAAAACCCACAACAGCTTTATTTGCTTAATGAAGCAATTCTATATATGCTAGTAATTTTTGAGTCAATTCATTGGACAAGTGACGGCTTTCTGTATGTCCCCTTTGTATGGTAGTGATAGTCTCTGCAATATATTTTGTCCCCCCCTGCACACTTTGTCTTTGCTTCCATGCTTTTTTGTAAAATTTCTGTTCTATATGCCCTTCTTCAGAACTTGGGTATATTAATTTTTAGGTGTCAAAATGTATCTTTTCATCCTGTATCCATAATAATTCATGAAACGGTCTTGGCTTTTGTTTTCCCTTCGCCTCACCTTTTTAATGAATATATTTTATATACATGAATTGTACCTATTATTTTATATTTTGTAAACCACTTTGCAAGGGTTTGCATAGGAAGTAGCGTAACTAGTGTCCAATATCCATCAAGTGTTTCTGAACAAATGTATTTTGGCTAAATCCTGCCAGCTAGGAATGATGGAACTTGAAATCTGACATACGTAGTAGGGGACTTCTGGCCTTCCTAGCTCCCAAAGTGTTGTTAAGCAAAGCGCGATGCCAGTGTCCTTTATCGTGTGCCCAGTACAGTATCACCCGATCCTCGAAGCTACAGTGGTAACAAAACCTCCCTCGAGTGTGCGAGGAACCAGAAATTCACCTGAGCTAGCATTTTATCTACAGCGGCGGTTCGACACATGCCTCGAGGTTTCCATGCCCGACTGGTGGCACTTGCCCCGTGGATGCTGTCTGCCCAGTCAGCTGGCGCCTGCTATTTTGTGGCCACGCGGGTTGGCGGATGTGTGCAGAATTGCCAAGCCGCTCACCCCACCCCCCCACTCCGAGCCGGCTCCTCGGTGCGGCTTCGCGTTGTTTGCGTTCTGGTTTTTGCGCGTTTCCTCGACGTGCTGCTATGCCGCCGCCACCGCAAAGCGAGTACCTCCCTTCCGAGCCGGGACTCCAGGCCGGGGGCTGCCTGCAGCCGCGTACGTGAGGCAGCTTGTGCCGGGGACAGAGGAGGGGAGGAGACGGGACTGGAGGGGAGGAGAAAGGGAGGAGGGAGCTGGAAGGGGAAGGTGGATTTCAAAACAAGCTTCGGAAAGGAAGGAGGGAGCGGAGCTGGCAAGCGGCGTCTGGAGGTAAGCGGAGAAGCGCCGCGGGTGGCGGCGGGGAGAGCGCGCGCGCACACACCCACCCCTTTGCGCCCGCGAGGGAATCGGGGGCCGCTGCAGCCGCTCGCGAAAAGAGGCCGGGAAAAAAAAAAAAGCCCAAGCAGCCGGGGACTTGCCCAGTGCAAGCGGAGTGGGTGTGTGCGCGCGCAACCTGCCACGGGCCGCGCAGTTGTCGGTGCCGCGCGGTTCGCGGGCAGTCCGTCTTCCACCCGCTTCCTCTGCAAAACCCGAACCAAACTTCGTGGATCTCGCTTGGTCTCCGCCCCGGTTTAGGAATTAATTGCTTCCTAGCTGGAAAAGGGTGAGCTCTTGCGCGGAAGCTTCCTGATCCAACGCCGCGGGCAGCGGTCCCCGGCGTTCTTAACACTTTACCTGCCCTTTAGATCTACTCTTGTCTTTTGCACAACCGGACTGTTTTATGCCGGTGCTTGCACCGCGGCAAGTGGTTTTCGCTGTGCGGTGGTCCCCCACCCCTTCCCCTCGACGTGGTTACTGAAGTCCCCTCGCATTTCCTCCCCCTTTGGACAAGCCCTCCAGGACTTGGAGAGTGGAGGGGGAGATGGACTTAGTTTTTGCTTCCTCCTCTCCCCGCAGTCGATCTACTGCTGTTCCTAATTTTTTGCAATCACTTGGGTCCCGGTAGCCAGGCTCTTCCTTGTGCGAGCTGCCCTGTGTTTTGATCAACGCGTGTTTGCCACGCCTCCCTTTAGTGGGCGCTTTTCCCTTCGCTCTTGTCAGGGTTTTTCTCTCTCTTTTGGGCACCTGGAAGGGTGCAGGACTAAGGCAACACCCGCTTCTCCCTTCGTTTGCAGGTCCCTCGCCGTCCCGCCCTCCTTCCTAGCTCCTGGGTCCGCTTCAGCCCTTTCCCCACAGCCAGCCAAACCTCCCCCGCCCCCTTTCTGCCTTCTAGCCGCTGCGCCTTCCCCGCCCCTGGGTTGCCCATGGCACGCCCACTCGAGGCGCAGAGGGGCTCTGCCCCGGGAGGAAAAGTGCCACTCCCCCTCTTCTTGCGGCCATGTCACGTTTGCCTTTAGACCACGCCTCGCAGTCCAGCCCCAGATTCTATATTTTAAGTCTTAAAAAAGAAAAAAAAAAGCATCGATTTCATATGGCTTGCCCGTCTCGCGAAAAAAGTGACTTGGCGGTTGTTGAGTCTTGCCGGTCAAACTTTCAGGGCGCTTCCCGGGGACGTCCTGAAACGCGAGACTTGTTACGTTGCTGAGTCTTCTTTGCCATTATGGTTTGAGTGGATGGTAGCCCCATGGCTCCTTCTGTGGAGAATCTTTACAAAACCACTAAGGGGAGAAGAAGATACTACAACAGTTGAGAAGACCCGAGCAGTCCAGTGCAAAGCAACTATAGTTTTTTGTTTTGTTTTTTGTTCTGTGGGTCTCTGCAGCTGTCTCCCTTCACTGTCGTTTTTCTTTCTCACATAAATATACTTGTGCAGCTGTTAGCTTTTGCATAGCTAGGCAAGGCTTCAGCTTCTGGGCAGTGCCTTCCACAGCTTGGGTCCCATTTGTCATGCACCCTCTCTTCCATAATGCTGTGCAAGGTTTGAATGTGTTCGCTCAAAAAGTAAATCTCATTGAGATTGTAGCTCAGAGCTCGCTGTTCTAATGGTGTGGAGTTTTAATGTGCAGTTAAAATGCTCTGGTAAGCAATTAAATAAATAGCTCTTTGCCTGCCAGCTTTCTGGTTCCCCAGACCTGAATTCCTGTGTCTTTGTTTTAGGAAAGATTTAGGTATTTGAATGAGGACATTTTAGGAGGACTTTTTAGGAGATTTGGACCTTAGTTTGGATGAATTCTGCAACCAAAAGATCCTATTCTGGAGATTTCCTGCCTTAACAATTAATCATCTTTGAGCTCTGCTAGCTGCGAAAACTTCAGTATTTTTCGTAACTCACACTGGTCAATAGAAGGACTAGTAACTGCCTTTCCGCAATATATGGGGTGAGCTTATTGGATTTGCATGTTGTGTGAATCCAGCCAGCTTGATTACCGTGCAAATCCTCCAGAAATGTTTAATACAGCAACTCAGATAAGGATGTTTTGTGAACCTAGTCAGTGTGCTATGGGGTGGAAGAAAGCGGCATCTCTTAATGGGGAATCTTTGGCATGAACGAGCTTGTCCGGGCCCTGCTTCTGGCCTTGAAATAGAACAGGGTGGGATGAAATGAGAAGGGGAGATTACCCCAAATGATTGGCCCTTCCTGTTTCCCACTTTGTTACCGTGCAGGTTTTCACTCCTCTTGTGGACCTAACTGGTACTTTTTGTGTTTTCCCCAACCCCCCCCCCCCAATTTGTGCCACACCCCTTCTTTATGCTTGCAACTTGGAGCATATCTCAGATCTTCTGCTTAGGAGCTTTGAGCCTTCACCACGTCACACCATTTACCTCACAATATGCCAGTATTGTAGGCTGTGCAATCTGGGAAATGTAGTCCTGAACTTCTTTGATATTGGGGAAGGTTTGTCCTGTGAGTTAATAACACCTGTTTGATGACTGGTAGCTCCACACTTGATTCCCTTTTACTATGCAGTGTTGTGGTGACATCTGGACTTCTGCCATTTTCTCCTGGTATTTCTTGGTATGTGTGTTGCTGACTAAGTTTGTGATTAGCCAGTGATCAGAGATCCTTTTGCCTCTTGGGAGGCCAGGCAGAAGTTCCTTTCCCAAAAAATTGGCTTGCTTCTTCTTCTTTTTTTCCCGGAGTCACCAAGATTGCCCTAAGCAAGCAAGCTATATATATAATGGAGTTATCAAATTGTTTGTGGAGCAGAAATTTTTGCAGACAGTAAAAGTTTTTTGTACATTTCAAATGGCAAAAATGGCAGGGTCCCAGATTCTCAGAAGAGGTGGTGGTAGGGGAACCAACTTTGAACACTTTGTGTGTGTGCGTGTAGCCCTAACGCTAACCTTCAAGTCAGTCTTGACTCTTGGTGACTGCCTGGACAAGTCCCTGCAGTTTTCTTGGCAAGATTTCAGAAAGGGTTTGCCCTTTCCTTCTTCCCAGGGTTGAAAAAGAGTGATTGGTGGAAGTTGCTCCCCTAGCTTAGGGCCTAAGGCAGGACTGGAACTCACAGTCTCCTGTTTTCTAGCCTGATGCTTTAACCACTGCCTTCAACTGGCTTCCCACTTTGAACATTGGGTGATGTAAAGTGCTGATGGAAGAACATTTTTGAAGGCCAAAACCCTAACTTACAGGTATACCCAGCAAAGCTACAGGGTCTTATTTTTGGGAGAAACATGGTAGCTTTGCAGGGTATACCGTATTTTTCGGAGTATAAGACACACCTTTTTTCCCTCAAAAAAGAGGCTGAAAATCTGGGTGTGTCTTATACT